CTCAGTCAAGAAAATACTGAGATTCAACTGATCGGTTTATGGCGTCCAACACACAACCAGCCTCTAGATCAGGGGTGCCCAAACTTTTTGAGAGCAAGATCTACTTTTTCTCTCACCAGCCGCCTGAGATCTGCCTCATGACACAAAGACATAAAAATTGTAAATTAAACTCTACTGACTTATTTTATATGCGAATATGCATCAGTTATAGCAGAAATAATAAAGTGACAGAAAACCTAATGCAGTTTCTTCCTCAGTGAGATTCTGACACTGGTAGCAGCTTTCTGGTTTCTCAGTCAGAAGCTGGTTGCAAACCAGCAGGTGTCAGTCAGTCATGGTAGATCTGAACTTTGGTTTGATGACCTCAGTATGAGAAACTAACCAAAGAGCCCAGAAAAGGTAAAGGCAAATCTTCTGAAGTCGGGATATAATTAATTTAATTTCACATAATTATTGCGGTAGAATTTGTTAAAACTTAATGAAATATATTTGTCCTATTTGATGTTTGTTGTGACATATGCTCACATACGAACGAGGTAATTTGTCCAAGTTTGTCGTTTATTGAATGTTCAGAAACTGCAGCGGGTGTGATGAGCCACAGCAAAGGTAAACTAAGGTAAAACAACCCGAACAGAAACTACTCCTACCTTTTTACTTTCTGTCTCTTTGTCGTTTAAGCACACCTGTTGCCGTGGCAACCGCCTGCGCCCGCAAGCCGAGCAGAGATTACATTAAAAACACAACATTCAGTCGTTACAATATCAGGTTTCCAGGCTTGATATTTATTTCTCGATTATTAATAAGCCTCTCATGGACACAGTGGTGGTCGAGTAGCTAATTTAAACTCCTGCTCTGCTCTCAGTCGGTCTTTGAGTCGCCTTTTTTGTTTCTTTTCTTTTTTTTTGTTAATGGGACCGAAACGCACTGAATTGCGCAACACCTTGTTCAAACAATAATTACTGAGATTATTAATTTTAACACGTCTCATTGATTTTTTTTATACTTATTCTTTTTTAATGAAGCTACAAACGTTTAGGATCTTAGTGAATATTTTTGATAAGCCCGTCAGAAGAGGAAGCGCTGGTCTTAGGGTCCTGGTGGCGTTCAGATTGTCATCTGCCGAGATCGACTCAAAACCTTCCGCGATCGACCGGTCGATCGCGATCGACGTATTGGGCACCCCTGTGCTAAGGCAATCTGCCCCTGCTGATTTCACAACTGAACCTCCCAAAGGAGAACAATAACATTTTATAGATAAAAAAAATAAAATCATTGACCTCACTAAATTAGCATTCCTCATCTTCTTCTTTGAAAACAGTTTTTGTCCTGTTATTGGCCCTAATATTATGAAATCACTGTCCCAGCACTATAGCTTTTATTACTAAGAGTAAATTTCAAACAGCGGTGTTTTATTGCTTCTCAGATTTGATTATAAAACAAGGTGTTGCTTAATCTCAAATGTATGATAATCAATATGGAAAACTTTTGCAGTGCCATTGTCTTTTCAGAGAGGCTAGCTGTTGACGCAGCAAAATTGTCTACCAATTTCTGAATGAGGTTACGAATGTTGATCTGTAAGAAGCAGTCTGTGGATCCATAGTAAATGTACTTTGGTCAGAATGAGAAGAAAGGATTTAGGGTTAAGTCTTATCACTGTCACGATCCTGGGTTGTGAGGTTGTTTTGAGGTTTGATTTCATTCCAGTTTAATTATTTTGTGTCACTTTCTTATTTTGTTTAGATCTGTCCTGTCCCTGTTTTCCTTTAGTTCGGTTCTTCTTAGTGTTTCTACTTCTGTTTATTTCTTACAGTTTATTTTTGTTTCCTCAAGTTTTATTAGGTTTCCAGCTACTCTTTAGTGTTAGATTTATTTCCTGTTCCCCTGTGTGTCCTCCCTCGCCCCCTGTGCCACTTCCTCTCTCCTCAGCCTGCATCCTGCTCCATTCACTCACACCTGCAGTCAGGCAGCTCATCAAAACAGGTCTTTTGTTTAGCATGTAACCTCCCCAGTACTCTCATCCTCCTCTCTGCCTCCCAGAGGAATGATATCATTTTTCATTCACTCAGGGTTGTTTTTTCTAAGTTTAAGGCTACATCTCAAACATAACTGGACTAGTTATGATAAGATAAACTAGTTTGAAAGGACAGAAATTAGACCATTTAATCTGTCAGTCAAATCTTTACTAATGATAAAGAATGAAACTTAATAAAAGTGTATACCGTATGTTTCACATTGAGTTCCACTAATGACTATTAATATACTATTAAAAAATTCATTAAAAAAATCAATTCATACTTAACTTTATTAAGTATAAACACGTAAATATATTCTGTCATATGTACAGGATCTGTGAAATAGTTATTAGACTGAGTGTGGATAAACTCCACCAGGACGAGCAGAACAGGACTGAGTGATGAAAGCAGTCTGAATGCACTAATCTGGATTAAGTTGTAAAAAGGCTGAAGCACCGCATAACAAAGGTTAGCTAAAGTCATATCTAGATTACTCAGGCAGCTGCCTGGTGGATGATCTTTCTACAGCTGACAGATGATGTCAGCGTCCAGAGAACAGTCTGGTGTCACTCTCCAGGTGCCGTCTTCAGCTGCCATGCTGCAGCCGCTGTCCTGAATGCTCTGATCCGGCTGTCTTTCTCCCCACTTAGTAAAGGTCAGAGGTCGATTTTTCATGTCGGACTGGAAGTTCCCTTCTGCTTTTCTCATGTTGATGTTGATCCAGGCTCTTTTCTCATGTTGACCCATCAGCTGAAGCAGCATGTGGTTCTCCTCCTCACTCTGGGGCAGAGCCAGCTCCAAGCCTCGTTGGTCGCAGAAATCTGCAGCCTTCTGGAAAGATCCTCTCTCCTTGTTGGACACAAAGTATTTCTGACCCACCTTCCTCACAAAGTCAAAGGTTATAGCTGGAAAAACATGCAGAAAATTTGGGGAAAAAGATTTAAATTTGCTGAGCACTTGAAATAATCGTGTGGCTGTCCTCCAAGTCACTGCTTTTAGTCCTCTATTAACTTTGCTGCATAATGATATTTAGATGTTTGTCATACATGGAAAGAAAATGTGTAAAACTCTAAATCAGACATTGAGAAAACATTAGATCCTCAGTAACTCTAAAACAGCTTTTGCTGATCTAATTCTTGGCTGATCAGAATTGAATAGAAAACCCACCAAGGTCCAGCTTAGCGGTGATCTTCATCTGTTCCTCAATATCCCGTATGAAAGGATGAAAGATTTCTGGATAAAACAGAACAAGTTTGGTTATCAAAGTTCATTTGGCTGCAGTTCAGAAATATTTTCCACTAGTTTTCTCTACATTAATATGATATTCCAATAATAACTTGCATTGCATAACAGTGAATAATGTCAGTCTTGGATTTTAAATTGGTGACTTGGTCTGTTAAAAGATGAGAAACTTTTTACTGCTCTACTGTCGTGTTGAAGTTTCAGTGAATGTAATATTATCATAACTTCATTTATTCAAGTCAGTTTCAGTAAACAGTCATCACCTCGTCCACACACGCCAACGGGTCCAGGTCGTCCAGGTACTCCTACATATGCAGGATTCCCGGAATCCAAAAAAAAACATGAAGAAATCTTCATTGGTCATAAAAAAAATTGCCCACAGTATATCTCATTGCTGTTCTCATTCTCTAGATTTTTTTGCTCTATTTTTTAGCTCTTCAGAAAAACTTTTTCTTTGCTTTGTGAGCAAAGAAAAAGTTTGCTCACAACCAATCCACCTGGACCACCGTTAGTCCAGGTGGTCCACGAGGTCCAGCTTCTCCTGAATCCAAAATGAGATGAAGCAATCTTCACTGGACATGAAAAAAATTAAGAATTTGGCTACAGTATTTTTCATTGCTCTTCTCTTTCTACATATTTTTTGTTCTATTTTTAGCTCTTCAGAAAAACTTTTATTTTGCTTTGTGAGCTGATACCTCGTGGTCCAGCTGGTCCATGAGACCCAGATTCTCCTCTTTCTCCCTTACTTCCAGGAAACCCTGAATCCAAAAAGAGATGAAGAAATCTTTATTGATCATGAAAAAAAAAAATGAAGAATTTGGCTACAGTATTTTTTATTACTCTTCTCATTCTACAGACTTTTCTTGTTCTATTTTTAGCTCTTCAGAAAAACTTTTTCTTTGCTTTGTGAGCTGATACCTGGTGCTCCATATGCTCCAGGTGCTCCAGGTTCTCCAGGTGGTCCAGGAAATCCTCTGTCACCTTTCGGACCAGCGGGACCCGGCAGCTGACTGAGGCTCAGGGGAACCATCAGACAGAAAACACAGAAGAGAAAACAAAGCCTCATCTTCCCAGTTTAGTGTTGGATTCTGTAAAAAATGAGTTAAATTTGATACTTAGTTTGAAAAATAATTTTCTCAAAAAAGATGCTGTCTTTTCTGTCTTTTATCAGTTCAGACACACATTTAAACATTTAATCCTGTTAAAACAGAGATTTACAGTCATTGTGTTACGTCTTTCCAAGGCGAACATTAAAACTGCTCAAGGGTTGAAGTCACCAGTAAATGAGATTGTGAATGTCCTTTTTCCTTTTTTGAAGAACAAGTATTGTAGTTTTTAACATGCAAGGCTAATTTAAAAAAGAAACTGTACAATGATAAAAAATTTATAATAAAAAAATATTCACCGTCAGAATGTGATCGTCCAGAACGTGCTGCTGCTTTGCTGTTCAAAAACCTTCTGATGTGAATGAAGATCCACAAACATGAGATCCAGCCCAGTGGAAAAGATACTTAGTCAAGAATGATAAACAACATACAAAAGATAAGCAGAGAGTTCCTGTGGTCTGACAAAATATCATTCCATGGCAAACCAGCAGCACATTCCGGATGATCACATTTTCACAGTGAGTTCTTGTTAGTTTTCTGTCATTGTACCGTTTTTGGTTGACATCATTTATGCAGAAGTTCCTGGATTTTCTGGAATCCCAGGTAACAGCTCATTAGGTAGACACATTCGAGTCAGAGAAACACTAATAATTTGGAGAAGGATGGGAGAAAGAACTAAAAGACCTCCTCCGTTTGTGTAAATTAACCTGCCAAGTAAAGATTTCTTCATGTTTTTTGTACTGGGTTCCCTGGACCTCCTGGACCCGTCACCATGTGTGGTCGAGGTGATGGACATGTGCTGAAACAAATACTAATCTGTCAAAACTACCAATTTACCCAGCCTGTTTACTTCCAGGAGGAAACAGAGGAAACTACATGAGGAAAATCATGCAGAGTAAATGTGTAGAGAGCTGATGCCACGATGAAGAAAGGTTTTTGTTATCAGGTGACAGTAGTGCTGATCACAACCTCTACGATTATCAGATCTAAAGTATATCCAGGTAAATTGAAGATAAATATAGAAAAGCACATGAAAATGAAAAAAACCCAACAACCTCTGGTTAACCTCTATATAACAGAACAGCAGCATGGCAATGTTAAGTTTAAATATAACATTATAACATGTGATGCTCCCCACAGTATGGAGGGAAACAACACACAGAGGTACTTATGGATATTTACAACATCAGGAATTTCATTGCTAATATCAACATTTGTTCCTGTGTCCTTCACTAAATATTCAAAAGAACAAGGTGTGATTTGGGTTTTTTATTTAATGCAATAAAGTCAAACCGGTTTTCAATCTAAAAAGTTGAATCTGAGATCAAACCTATGAAGTAAAATAGAAAAAAAAAAACCTGTGAGCCGTTCCTGATCAAGGCTTCAGAAATCTGTTTTATTTGGAGATTTTGTTAAATTTGTTATGAACATAAAGTAATTCATCTTCTGACATGAACAACCAATTTTTTTATTTTAATGATAAAAAAAAAGCAGAGAAGTAAACTAACTTCTAACTTTAGATGTGAAAGTTCACTGTAGAAACTTTCTGCTTGTTTTCTATGTGTTAACATTCTTTACTAATCATCTTTTTCTCTGGGTGGATATCAAATGTATGACTCCAAAATCTTCATCCACATGAGTTTCAAACAGAAAAGCAGCAGATCGCATTTTGACAGTAAGTTTTTTTTTTTTTTAGATCTTTTTATCATGTTTATTTTACCTTTTAGTCATTAGAAATCCCAAACAGAATCTCATTTGCTACAATACTTTTCTTACTTTTTGGCCTCTGTCTTGTGAACATGTGACAGAAAGTAATTTACTGCAAACTTCTAGTTTAATTGTGTGATTATATTATTGCTAGATGAATTGATCAAATATCAATGATGTTTGATTGAAAAACAGAATAGGAAAAATTAACAAAAGATTTTTTCAGAGAATACGACAAATCTTCTTGAAGATTTGTTTTCTGTGTTTTCTGCGTGATGGTCCCCCTGATGGTAAAGGTGTCAGAGAACCACCTGGATCACCTGGTAACACACATAAAGGAAAGCTTTTTGACGACTTAAAGATGAAACAAAAACAATTTGGAGAAGAACAGGAGAAAGAAAATACTGTAACCCCACTCTTCTTCTCAAACAACCTGACCAATAAAATGTATTCATGCTTTTCGTACTAAGACACCACTGGAAACCATGGACAACGCGGAGCACCTGGACCACCTGGACCTGTTGTTGTGTGTGGACGATGTGATGGCTGTTTGCTGAAACTGACTTGAATAAATAAAGTTATGGTGACATTTCATTCACTGATTCTTCAACACAACAGTAGAACAGAACCAAAACACTATATTATAAACATCCAAAACTCTGGCATTTTTCACTGCCATGTGAATTATTAGAGAAATTATACAGTGAATAACTAGTGAAAAATATTTCTGAGCTGCAGCCAAATGAACTTTGGTAATGAAACTTGTTCTGTTTTATCCAGAGATCTCTGATTCTTTCAGACGGGATGTTGAAGGACTGATGAAGATCACCGCTAAGCTGGACTTTGGTGGGTTTTCTATTCAAGTTTGATCAGCCAATAAGTCAACCAGCAAAAGATTTACTGTTTCCGAGGATCTAATGTTTTCCTGCATGTCTGATTTTGATTTTACACATAATGTAGGATCTATTGAAAATGTGAGTTTACACATTTTCCATCCATGTATAACAAACATCTAAATATCTACATGCAGCAAAGTTAATAGAAGATCAAAAGCAGTGATTTAGAGGACAGTGCCATGATTATTTCAAGTGCTCACAAGACAAGTGACATTGATTTTCTGTGCTGTTCTAGAATTATAATTTGCCTGTTCTTTTCACAATGGCAGTTCAGTCCATGTTGGCCACGCTCCCAGATATTGAAATAATATTTACACCAGCCTTGTTTGGCTCTACACTTTTCTCTCTTAAGTGGGGGACAGTTGCTTAAAGTGCAGGCGGTTTCCTGTAAGCTTCATAGTGTTGCATACGACACAGAGAAATGTAACATGGGGTAACATCTACGAAATCAACACAGTCCACGGCTCCAGGAAGCAATAGTTTCTCAACAGCCGAGAGCTCAGGCCTGGTTGTTACCTAGGATGCACCGATCCTCTTTTTTCACTTCCAATACCAAGACAGACATCTGAGTTTTAGCATCGGCCGATACTGGCCCAATACAGAAAAAATTGTGCTGAACTGACTTTAAAAAAGTCTGTTTTTAAACTCTGCACCATTACAGCACACTTAAATACACCAATAGCTTCAGAAATTTCGTTTAAATGTAAAAAGACAACAAAACTTGTATTTGTTCAGTCAGTACAATTAGGAGTAGAACAACCAATGTAAAATAAATAATAAACAAACTGAAACTGGCAAAAATAATAGGTTGACTGCATTGATCAAACGTAAAAAACTAAACAAATATACGGCAACAAATATTCTTTAAAATAGTGCAGAAAGTGGAATTAGATATTCTAAATTTTAACTAAATAATAAACTTATACAGTGGTTTGTTAAAACCATTCACACACTATGGAGAAAACAGAACTAAAGATCAATCTCAACTAAGCCCAAAACAATCCAGCTAAACCCGAAATCCCTTCCTTCCAGACAAGCACACAGATTTTAACCCCCCTGTTTCCCCAACACTTTTCCTCAGACAGGAAGAGGCAAAAAAACAGAAACTTAACAACGGAATAAATTCTGAAAATCACATTCCCATACTCCTTACTATATTAAGTTTATTGAACAAAGTAGATTAATTAAATTGCTAAAATACGTAACACATAACACCAGTAAATAAAGTAAACAAATTTAATGACTAACATAGATGTTAGCCAGGGAAGCTTAAAGCACATTTCTGCTTTTTCTCATGAAATTTGAGACGGTTTAAACTTTGAGTCAGCTCCCCCTTCGGTCCTTACTACTTAAAGGTCTTTCAGAGAACAACATGATGCATTGCTTACATTTGTAGGAATGTTTGCGACATGTTTATCCGCTCACAGTTAATTCCTGTTTCGGCATGAAGAGATGGGGAAACGTTAAACTCACTACAACATTTTGGCATATTTCCAACAAAAGAACCAAACAGTCGACAGAAATAAAACACAGGGATGTTGATGAAAAGAAAACATCTTTCAGAAAGTTAATTTTCTATGGTGGGGATAAATATTTTAAAATGTGTTTTTGACACCAAAACGTTTTAGATACTTGTTAATGTTATTTGTTATCATCCATTTATAAAAGTCACATGCTGACAAAAAAATGAAGGTATTTCATACAAAATAGGAATGCAGTAGAAATAGACAAATAGCCACGAAGTCCACTTTGTTTTCTTTTTTTTTTTTATCTATGAAATAACCATCTTAAAGCTATATCCAGCAGCATATTCAGCATATCGCGCTTCTACTTCTGATACAGCAAGTTCTTTTATGCTGATTTCTGTGTTTTTAAGTAAGTTTTATTATTCATTATTTTTAAAGAGAAACTGTATATTGTTGCTAAGATATAAAGCACCTTCAGAGTTTTAAACAAGAGTACATGTGGGCTCTTGGTAAAATCGCAACCAGGTCCGTTAGCGCGTGGCTCGCTTTATTCTCGATAATGTCAAATGAGATTTGGGTTTTTAGTTGTAAGAAAATAACACAGAAACATGAGACGTACACACCGATGCACGTTTGAAGTCTGAGCAGTGTTTTATCTATATTTCAGTTCTGCAAGTCCGACAAGATGAGGCTCCCCGTCTCATTTTGGAATCGTTTTGTTGGTGACAGACATCGGCCATTGTCAGTATCCATGTGTTCACCATCCATATTGCAGCAGAGGGCCGATGGGACCTCCAGGTGAGTGACAAAACTTTCCTTGTAAAGACCACGTCTGTAAAATATGTCAGAAAATACAGAACGGTAACGCAATAAAAACATCGGGATAAAGTTTGTTTTGGTCTGTGGACTGCAAAGACGGCACCGAGCGACTGCACCTAAACGCCCCACAACGTCTGACGCAGTGACGTTGGTTCCAAAGCTCTATTGGCCAATAGAAGACATAGAAGGCAGCTCTCCTCATTAACATAACGATGCAGCAGAAATACAGCAAACGGAAAAACAGCGAACAGAAATACAGCGAGCAGAAAAGGGTAAAGCAAAAAAAGGCAAAGCAAAAAAAAACAAAAACAAAAAACACAATTTTTCTTGACGGAAACTCATGTGTAAGGCACAGGAAAAACTAAATATATATTTATGCTTTTAATTCTTATCAAAATATATATTTATTCCTTTATTTATAATTGGGGCCTGCCTATAGCAATGCATAGGGAAGAGCAGTCACTGCCTCCATGCATTGCATGTTCTACACCCGTCTCTTTATTTTTTCTTCTATATTTA